TCAGCTGAGACCTAAAGAATGAGAAGAAAGGAGCCAGGCAGAGGGGGGAAGAAAAGAATTTTACAGGTTACAGGAAAAGTATGGGGAAAAAAACATCTGAAGTAAGAGAGGACAGGGCTCAACAGAAGAACCAGAAGAAGAAAATCATGGCTGGAGCTCACAGAACGAGGTGGGAGTTGGGGGAATCGGGGCTGGGGAGATGAACAGGACCTACCAGATCACAGCCTACCTTGTAAGGCTTGTAAAACAAGCCAAAGAGGTTGGGTTTGATCCTGAGGGTGAGGGAGAGTTTTAAGGAAAGGAGTCTCATGGTCATATTTGTATGTTGGAAAGGGGAGAATGGATGTACCGGTAAAGATCAGGCATTGACGCGATAACCCGGATGAAAGAAGATGGAGGCCTGGACTAGGATAAGAGCAGAAGAAACAGAGAGAAGAGCATGGATTTGGATGCTCTAGCTAATATGATCTGGTGATTAATTGAACTCAAAGGGGCCATGAGGGGAAAACGTCAGAGGTGATCACACAGCCTAGACCAGTGCTTTGCACATAATAGGTGCTCAGTTAACATTTGTGGAATGAATGAATTCATAACAAATAAATGATTGAATGAACAAATGTACCGGTCAATGAGAGGCAGAGAAGAGCGGAGTAAATTATTTTTGGAGATCTCTTCCAAAACAAAACCATCCTTACAAGTAATATAGACTTGAGAAAAAAAATCAAATTTGTATTTTTACAGATACAAAAACCCTCCCTATATTTTTAAACTTGTGAAATCTCTCAAGATAAATTTAGGAGATGCAAAGCAGTATAAGAGCCTCAGATTGCTTTTCGTATTTCTTTTTTTTTTTTTTCTTTTTGGTGAGGAAGATCAGCCCTGAGCTAACATCCATGCCAATCCTCCTCTTTTTTGCTGAGGAAGACTGGCCCTGGGCTAACATTTGTGCCCATCTTCCTCGACTTTATATGGGACACTGTCACAGCATGGCTTGACAGGCGGTGCGTCATGTGCACCCAGGGGATCCAAACCTGCGAACCCTTGGGCCGCCGAAGCAGAGCGCGTGCACTTAACCACTTGCACCACTGGGCCGGCCTCTGCTTTTTGTATTTCTGCCTTCCCAAATGCTGCCTCCCTCAGTCTCCCCAACTGAGGATCATCAATAGCTCCCAACTTCCCCAATCCTAAGCCTCTGGGCGTGTTCCAGAATTTGCTGCACTTTTGAAATGGTTCTTCCAATGACAGTCTAAATTGTTCAAAGACTAGTTCACTCATTTGTCAAGTATTTATGGAATGCCTACCACATGCCAGGGATATAACCTGGGGCAATGACCATGACAACGATAGACAGCCCTGTCCCTCCAGGAGCTACCAGTCCCCTTGAGCATTTAAAATGGACCACATGTGTAAATGGTGAAGTGTGGTTTTTCTCCATTCACTCATAAAGTCTCTTTGGCTGGGTATATATGGTCTCAGAAATCATCAGAGGCCTCCAGTCTTGGAAGATTGTCATTTTCATAATGTAATGTCACCACCTAGTGGTCCCAAACAGTTTTGCCGACTGATCCAGGAAAATTTCTAGCTATATTCCTGGGAATGACTCTCCACCATTTCTCCAGAACTTTTCCTTTCTCTCTCACGATAATCTAGGGAGTTATTCTCTAACATATAATAAATACTCGATATTTTTTAAGTAAATGTAGAAACAGAAGGACAAATTAGTTTTATACCCTGGTACCCTATGGCAACTGAAAGAGAAAATTTAGAAATTCTTTTCCAGATTCTTCTGGACTCCAAAGGGCCTCTAATCATTTCTACCTAAAGGTATTTCTGTCCTTAATTTAGCAAACAATTCCTTTAGGCGTATTTGAATAAACCGATTTTTTTTTAAGGGTCACTGCTACTATGGATGAAACCCTGACTCCCTCCCACCAAAGGGAGCTTTCTGTAATCCAAAACCAATGAAGAACAGAGTCTGTTTCCCCAGATATTAGGACCAATACCAAAAGAAAAGACAGCTGGCTCTGTGAGGAGCGAAGTGTGGACGCAGGATGTCTGAAGATGCTTTCATTGACTCTACTTCTACACACATGGCAAACAGGGCCGGGTGCCACTGGGAATCATGCTCAGAAAACCATAGTGACCCAAATGAAGCAGCCTATCCCTAGTAGGGACCCCAAAGGACGTAGAAAAGAACAAAAGAAACCAGAAACTAGTTTTTTTGGTAATATAAGGCTCCTGGGACAATATGCCAAGAGGCTGTCTTAAGTTCTCTTGTGGGCTTAAGCGTGTAAAACTGATCTCCATGCCAGTCTGGCTGGAGCCTCCTGGCTATTAGACCTTAATTCTCCTGCTTCCTATGGCCCAGATTGTTGGGAAGAGGCAGTTAGCAGCAGTTACCTGGCTCCTCCTCTCTCAGAACACTGGGAGGCTGAAGCGAAGGGTTCATGAGGGCTCCAGCCCTCAGCCGATTCTTTTCTATGTAGCTTCATCCCTCCATTCTGATGAAGACGGTCAGCTGTGCATTAGAGAGGGACTCAGAGAGGCGTCAGAACACAGTGCGTGAGAAGAGCAAGGACTTGGGTTCTAAGCCCAGCCCCCTTCACCTGCTGGCCTTTGGTTTCTGACAAATTACTTAACCTCTCCAGCAAGACCGCCAGGTACTGTTGTGAAGGTTGTAGAGCAACTCTAAGAGTGCTGCTCATTCTGTAATCATCGTAGATTTGTATATTCATTGAGATAATTTTTCAGCAGATGGTAGCGGAGTATCTTAAAGGGTGCCTTTTTTCTAATACACTCAGAGGCCCCAAATGAGCTATCATCAGCCCTGTATTCTGAGCCTCAGTTTCCTAATCTAGAAAATGGAGACCATCCACATCTATCTATAGAATTGGCCAGAGAACCAACCAAAATAGTGAGTGTAAAGCGCCGTGCAAACTGTGATGTGGTCTGTAGATTATATCTCCCTAAATTCTGTTTGTGATTATCCAAATTTGAGGGATTGGTATAACAAAGTGAAACAAGTTACAGCCTGCAAATGTTGTTTCTCCCTTTGAAGACAGAAGCAAAGGCCGTGGTCAGATAGCAAGTATCTTCTCACTCAAAATATGTCATGATTCAAAAAGTAACTTTGTACTCATCCACAGGACTTAAAAGAATGTGCCAACTTCTGGGAGTTGCATTACTAAGTAAGTAAAGTGGTAGAATTAGTTATAAAATAGTTAGACCTTCTCTTCTCTGAGTCTTCAGATAAGATGAATAAATGAAAGCTAAGACCTGCCCCATCCTCAACCCACCACTGCCCACTAGGAACTGTTTGCTCGGGTGGACAGGTCGGAGGGTAGGCTAAAGAGAAATGAAAAAAGTTGTCACTTTTTAAGTTAGCCCACAGAAGACATTCTGCAATGCAATGTACATTCAAGAAATAATTATTTTCAGAAAAACAGCCCACATAATGCCTCTTGCATCCCTCTCACCATGAAGATTCAGCTAAGGACAGTTTAGTCTCGTAACACAAACGATGTCACGTCATTTTGATTTGGCTTGGAAAAGCGGAGGAATGGGTAGGCAGCAGTTTTAGCTTTCTAATTTGGTCTGTCTTGAGACAGTGTTAAAAAGGAGTTGAACATTTAATCTGCCTTTCTTCTACGAACTGTACTTAGAGGAACCAAATAATTGATGAGGGATAAGTCTCTCTTTGTAGAAAGATCTCAGGCCCAGTTCAGAGTTCTACTTCCAGCATAACACTGTGAGGAACTCCACAGACTGCTCTCTAGTGAAATTGGTGCAAATTATTTTTTTTAAGTCTCTGCAAATGGTCCTAAGAGCACATAGCAAATGAAGAAATGTGTTCAATTTACAAAAACTACGTAAGAACTGCACGAGTCTATGGTACGTGACCCTGGGCCCATGCCCGCCCTCTCCGCCCGACTTCAGAGAGGCAGAAACTCTGCTCCGGATAGCTGCAGCCCAGGAACACAGGGCTCCCTCTCCCACCAGCTCCAAGTCAGAGGGCTGTCTTCCCAGGATGGACAGGATGTCATCATTTCTCATCCTGCCCCCAGCTGCCTGTTGCTGAGGCCAAGTTCCAGTGAGCACAACTGATCGGTGCGGGGGGTCTCTTCTTCCCCCAGCCCCCGCTGTGGGAAGGAGCCTCAACCCTGGGTGCAGAGCTCCTGAGAATCCTGGGGCCCCGACTGCCTTTGCCCCAGCTCATGGGACATGGGGCCCAGGGCAAGGACTTTTAGTGCCCAAATCTAAGATCCTGGATACATGAGAGTTGCCTTATATTATTCTCTTTAGTTTTATGTAATTTAAAAATTTTTCTATATTAAAAACTTTAACAACAAAAATATGAAAAAAAAATCCTTCCAAAAACCAAGTTCAAGGAACCCTGAGACTCTGAAATTCTGAGTCTTTATGAGCATCCCTGAAACTTTCCTGCAGACTCAATAATTTAGAAACTGGAGGTTTAGACTCTTTCAGGTTAATACAAGTCCCAAACCACCTACACAGGAATATTACACATAACAGATATACAGATAACACAATGAATATGATTTGATAATGATGCCGATGCCATCCCCAAAAGAAACCACTTCCAGAGACTAAGAACACAGTAGGGGTTCCCACAGGCCAAATTCATTTTCCAAAACGGGAAACTTTTCAGAGCTTCAGAAAGGAGATAAAAGTGACCGAGAAAAAAAATACCAAGAAATATCTCTCCTCCCCTCCCAGAAACAGAGAATGAGTCTTTTGATTTAGCAGGAGCTGTGTTTAATCACTATAATTATTCTGGCCCTAATGGAGGAGAAACAACCTAAGTTTAAAAGGGGCGGGGCTTTCTCTTCCTCTCTTATTTTAGAGGCAAGTCGAAGTGAATGAAGAAAACAGAATCCCTAAGGTGAGGCCCTGGTAAAGGCTCCAGGGAGCAGAAGTCCCCTCTCCTTTCTGCCTTTATGTTCAAAGTCGTTGTCCACAGGAGTCCAAGCATCCTGCCCCGATGATGCCTTCCACCTATGCCTCCAGAGACTCTTCACTCTGTGCCCCAGAACATGGGTCGTCCTCGTCCTCATCATCAGTGGTCTGAAGAATCCTCAGTAGTTTGAGCTCAGGGTTCCAGCTTGTTCTAGACGTACTGGCTGAAAGGTCCTCTGGGGTCCTCTCTTGGGCTGCCAGCACAACCTCCATCTGAGCACTGATGTCCTCATTAGTGGGTTCTGTCTTGGATAATTCAGGATCTAAAAGAAGACCCAGTCATTAATTGCACCTGTAGCCTTCTCCCAACTGTGACAAATGGAGGACAGAAAAGGAAGGGCTGGGGTGTCTTTAGGACCCTTCTGAGGGATGAGGACTGTGCCCTCCAGGGAGGTGAACCGTCCTGGGCTACACAGGTTCAGCTCTCCCTGTCCTCAGTCACTTACTATGCTTCCTCCACCCTAATAACTTACTCTCCTTGCTGGGGAAGGAACCCAGGTAGTTTGCAGAGTAGTCCATCTGTGGTCTTTCTGTGGAATCCTGAAATTCATTAGAGTACGTATAAGGAAACTTGAATCAAGACTTTAGGAAACAAAGGATTTTTCTAAAAGATGTTTTTCTTGGAGAAATCAACATCTAAGGCAGGACAACACGCCACCTCCTGAGACTGAAGAGAGCAGCTTGTAGCGCACATTCTTTGTCCTCCAGGTTGACCAGATGAGGCCAGGTCCTACTTTCCCCATCCCCAGCTGTCAACCAAGGGTGGACTGCCTCCCAAGATGGCTGCCGAGAATCCCTCCTGTTCCTGTACGTACCCGCTGCTCCTTCCATCAAGAGATGGAGTCCATTTCCCCTCCTCTTGATTCTGGGCTGGACTTGTGCTTTTTTTTTTACCAATAAAATGTGGCAGAAATGACACAGTTCCGGTTCCAGAACCATCGCTTAAGAAAGTGCTTTCATGCGATTACTATGCTGTCAAGAAGCCCAAACTAGCCGTGTGGAGAGGCCTCAGGGAAGAGAACTGAGGTGTTTAGCCAACGGCCCCAGCCCAGCCTCCCACTGAATGCAGCTACATGAGTGACAGCCAGCAAGACCAGAAAAACTATCCGGCCAACCCGCAGGGTCATGAGAAATGACCAACCACTACGGTTTCAGCTTTGGGGTGGTCTGTTCAACAGTAACAGATAACTGAAACGGGGCCCTAGCAGAATGGCCCTCGTACACTCTCACCTGTTTCAAGGTGGGGCCTTCTCTCTTCATCGGCTGCTGCTGCTTTTTGTCACTTTCTGGACCTGGTGGAGTTCTGTGACCTAGTGACCACAAAGTCAAGTCAACCATCTTCTTATTGGCATTTCATATCCCATTGCTGGGCTTCTAGTTGAATCCCTAGTCTACCAGTAACTCCCCATCCAGGACAAGACAGGACCTTAGAGGCAGTGAAAAGGAGCCAGGCCTTCTGAGTTCTATTTGTAATTCTGTTCACCTGGGACTGTGACCACATCTATTACAGAATTAGAGATTAAGGTAAAGGGTGTGTTAAAAGACACAGGATTCCGGGCCGGCCCTGTGGCTTGGTGGTTAAGTGCGCGCGCCACAATGCTGGTGGCCCAGGTTCGGATCCCGGGTGCGCATCGAGGCACCACTTCTCCGTCCATCCTGAGGCCAAGTCCCACATACAGCAACTAGAAGGATGTTCAGCTATGACATACAACTATCTACTGGGGCTTTGGGGGGAATAAATAAAATCTTTAAAAAAAAAAAAGACACAGGATTCCTCCAAGAAACCTACGGGGCAGGTACCTGCACATCACAGCAACAAAAGAAACCCTAATCCTACCTTTTCAGTTTATGAACACTCCTCCTACCTCCCTGCACCATCCCCAATGTACCCATGTTGGCCTTTGAAAATGAAACCCCTCCCCTAACAAAATTCTAGTTCTGATTCTTTTGCATCAACTGTTTCCCCAACTAGTCCCTAAACGCATTCATTCTTTCGTTTCTCAATATTCCTTTCTCTAAATGAACATCTTCCAAGCTGCCACCAGAGGTATCATGCTAAAAGGCAAAGCCCATCAAGGCACTCCCGTGCTCAACACTTCTGTTGGCTCCCTACCAGCACTAGTTCTCACCTTAGCTGCACACCGGAAGCACTGGGGAGTTCTAAAAAACACTGAGGCCTGGGTCCCAACCCCAGAAATTCTGATTTAGTAGGTCTGGGGTGCAGCCCCGGTATTGGAGTTTTAAAAGCTCCCCAGTTGATTTCAGTGTGCAGTCAAGGTGAAATACCACTGACCTGGAGGATAATGGCCAAACACGTTAGCAGTCTATAGAGGCCCCTACCGACCTCTTCTGTATCACTTACCACCTCCCTTAAATACCCAACCCCACAGCCATCGTGGACTGCTCAGTCTTCCCTGAATAGCCACGCTCCTCCAAGATGCCTTTGCACAGGCTAGTCCCACTTTCAGGAATTCTCTTCCATATGGGGAAAACTCTCACATATATTTAAGATCCAATGCAAAATCATCTCTTCCATAAGGCCTTTCTCAACTCAGTGAGGACAGGCCACTGCTCTAAGAACGTGAGTCAAAGGGGCACCAGTCACCCAAGCAAAACTGCTCCTTCTGGAGACATCAGGAAGAGGAACAAAAGGCACCCGAATGGAATTCAGGGGAGTGTTCGTCACCCTGGATGGGTGCTAACCTTGGACAAGTCACCTCCTGCCCTGGGCCACAGCCCTGGTTCTGTCTACCTCCCATGTGAAGGTCAGGAACCTCCTTAGATCTTCGGGTTAGAGGACATTGTTGCTATCAGAGAGCTCAGTGGGACGGGCAATAAACCAAGAGAGCAGCATCCTTCTCAGGAAACATCTCACCCGAGCCCTCCCAGTGCCCCAGGGTTGGAGAGTGAAATCTGATGATTAAACAGTTATTTTCACATTACAGTCAGCAATGTCCAGTCAGCAATGTCCAATCTGAGTAGGGCAGAACATTCTTCTAAGGTTTAAGAGGATTCTTTCTCCCTCCCTCCCATCCTGTATTCAAGCTGAGAACAGTCAGGGGGACCAAGGTAAGTATATCCTTCAGCTCAGATGTGATAAGGACTCCAAAAATGGAGATACCCATTCTCATCTCCAGCATGAACACTAGAGGAAAAGGACCACCTGTCAAGAATTGGCATGGCCCTGCCTCCTGCATGGGCTAGATGGTATGCTGATTTCAACCTGAGGCTCTGGAGACTTTACCTTGTGGCTGGGAAGTGCAGGGCCCTGGACTCTGCTTCCTTAGAACTCTCTTGGGGCTCTAGTGTGGGGCCCTGGCCCTTACCTCACTGGCCAATGGACCCTCAGGGGTCCTTGCTTCGTGCTGGCTCCTCGTGCTCAAACTGCTCTGCCTTTTCTAAAGTTGGACCTGAAGAAAAGTGACTCTGACTCATGCTCAGGGTCATCTCTCAAATCCCCAAGAGAAGCAGACATCCGGCCCAGCTTGCTTGCTTAGTAAATATCTGATGGATGATGCATGGTAGACCAGCCAAACCGAAGCATTCCAAGGAGAATTCTGAGTGTCTGACAAAGGCAGGTCCCCAAATGACAAACATGTTCAGCTTTCCCTGCCCTCAGCTACGTCCTGGGATTCTGTCACTCCCAAACCCATACTCCCCTTACCATAGCGTGAGTCATAAACCACAGTACCTGAACGTTCATGTGAAGTGTTCTGGCTCCCTGGATCACCCTTGGACTTCTTCTTAGCCTCCTGAAACCCACAGGAGGAGGAAGTGAATTAGGACTTTTGGAAGTGAAGAAAAGTTTTCAAAAAGAGTCTAAAAGAAGGAAGTTAATATCTACAACCAGACAGGAACTTTGTATCAATAACGAGATAGCAAGCAGGGAGAATCCCACCTCTCACACACCCCTTCCCATTCCAGGCTGCACCCACTTGTCCGGTCCCAGCAAGTCCTAGGGGTCCCCTCACTGCCATTCTACCTGTTTCTTAGGAGGCGTCTTCACCTTCCTCTGTTGCTGCTGCTGCTGCTGCTCCCTGTGACCTGGTGACCAGACAGTCAGCTCAATCCTCTTCTCCCTGACAGCTCCCACCCTCCCCCTGGGCTGCTTGCTGTGCCCCGCTCCACAATGGTGACACTCTCTCTGGTCAGGACCAAAAGCTGGGGGCGGGGGAGGGGGGGGCTTCTTTGTGAAATTGCAGTTTCCTGACTTCTACATGTGACCCTGAATGACTGTGGCCACAAACATAACTGAATTGAAACCAAAACTAAGTATGAGAAATGTGGGCTGAGGGGGAATGGTACCTGGAGATCTGGCAGCACCAGAAAACCTATCTTCTGTATTCAGGTTATAATATAATCTCTTCAGATGTCCAGGATATCTCAACGCTGGTCTCTGGAGAGAAAAATAACAAGAAGAAAAGCTCTACTGTAGGTCTTTCTCTTTCCCAAAATACATCCCCTGAATGCATGGATTCCTCAGTCAACAAGCATTCTTTGAGAACCTGGTGTGTGCAGCATTGTTCCAGGGGCTCTGGAGGGGGATGAAGGTGTGGGGAACAAAGTGCGGAAGAAATAGAGAACGCTGTTCTCCTCAAACCCCTCCCCATATGTAGCTTTCACCTAATAGAGCCCAGCTCCCGTGTGGGGCTTGGGTCCAGTGTGGAAGGATCAAAGAGAAAGAAGAAATAGAAAGTCAACTCTTCCAGCCTTGAAGAGAGATGTCTGGGTTTGCATGTAGACGTCTCTCTCTGAGGCTCCCTAGCTCTTACCTGCAGGGTGAGGCGGTGTACAAATAAGAACATCTTAGCAGAAATGGCACTGTCAGGGCGGCTCTTTTCCAAAGGAAGTTTCTTTTTCATCATGGCCAATTGTGTCTTCATCTCTGGACAAAGCATGGTTTTCCCTTCATCTGGCAAAAGGCTGAAGGGGACAAAGACAGCCAGACAGTCAGCAACAGCTCTTCTCGGAGAGTGGGGCTGAGGAGAAAGAGATGACAAGAGCTCCAAACTGGAAGAAATTTCCACTTTGGGTCTGAAAAGGCCTATACCAACAGGTGCTCATTCAGTAACAGCTTTCAGCTGCAACTATGATAACCGTAGCTGTATGGACTAAGCGTTTACTACCTGTCAGGCTCATGTGCTTTATACCCCTGAATCCTTACAATACCCCGAGGACGGGTATTATTATGCCCATTTTGCAAATGAGGAAAATGACTTAAAGAGGCTAAATAAATTACCAAAATTCACAAAGCCAGTAAGCTTCAAGACAAAATTCAAAGGCTGTCTCACATCAAAGCACATATCCATTCTGCCTCCCACTTACCCATTAAGCATCTATAAAAAGAAGAGAGCAAGGCCGGCCCAGTGGCGCAAGCAGTTAAGTGCTCGCGCTCCACTGCGGCGGCCCAGGGTTCGCCCGTTCGGATCCCGGGCGCGCAACGACGCACTACTTGTCGAGCCATGCTGTGGCGGCGTCCATATAAAGTGGAGGAAGATGGGCACGGATGTTAGCTCAGGGCCGATCTTCCTCACAAAAAAAAAAAAAGAAGAAGAAGAGAGCAATAGTGTCACCTCCTACTAGAGGTTTAAATGAGAGAATATATGTAATGTGCTGATTTAGCACAGGGCCTGGCACTCGGTAAGAACTTGATAAACAGTGGTGATATTATTGGTGCATATTATTGGTAAGTCTAAGAACTCAGTGAACAAGTAGGGCGGCAGTGTTCTCCCGTCCCTGCTCAGAAAGCACACTGCTTAGACCCTTCTCAGCTTCAAAGAGAAGCAGATGCTCTGGCTCTCCCACAGGTTTACATGACACTTACTCCTTCAACAGATCCTGAGGTAACATGTCAAACTGGTTCCAGGAAGGTATGAATTCTGAATTTAGTTGCTCAAAAAAGTGTACTGGAGAGGGCGGAGGCACAGTCATCCCTGGAGGTCCCAACTGGATTTCTGTGTTCTGTTTTCCGGAAAGAACCAGAGATGACTTGTCTTTCTAGAAGAGAAATAATGGAAGAACACCCAGAAGCACTCTCTTCAATGCCACTTCTTCCCATCAACATTCCAGCCTCCCAACACAACCCTGGCACATGAACCTCCTTGTTTCCAGATCTATTCCAGCAGTTCCCACCCCCACACACACACTCTGAGGGCCGCCACATTTTTCCTCTCTAGCTGCCCAACCCTACTGCTGAGTTCAGATCTTAAGGCGTTTAGTTGTTTTGTTTTGTTTTTTTCCAAAAAGGTTATTACTTTATTCAGTGAACAAAGTGAACAAATATTTATTGGCCAACTATTTGCCAGGCACAATGTTAGAGCTGGGGATTCAGCAATGAACAAAATGAACCAAGACACCACTCTCATGGATGTAGCAATTTTCCAACTCTAGCTGTATGGACTGTCCAAGGCTACATTTACCCAATAAATGGGAGAATTCAAATTAGAGGCCCAAGTCCACTATAACTCCTAGTCCACTGAAATTCTATTCCCAGCACACTGCGAATTAGTTTTTAATTGACCCCAAATTAAAAACTGCATACTTACAGTTCCTCCTAACATATTTCAAGGTGCCCCTCACCTTCCTCCAGGGAGGAGGTAGAGAAAAAGAGTCTCTGAATAGAAAATGGTGTGGTAACTATTCTTTAAGAGAGGTTTTCTTCTGCAGATTTTGTTCATTTAAAGAAAAAATGGGGGCCAGCCTCAGGGGCCAAGTGGTTAACTTCAGCGTGCTCTGCTTGGGCAGCCCAGGTTCAGTTCCTGGGCACAGACCCACACCACTCACCTGTCAGTGGCCATGCTGTGGCAGCAGCAGCGCACATACAAAAAGAGGAAGATTGGCAAAAGATGTTAGCTCAGGATAAATCTTCCTCAGCAAAAAAAAAAGAGAGAGAGAGAGAGAGAGAAAGAGAAAATAGCAGAAGGGGGAAGCTATCTGAAAGGAAAACAAAAATAAACTCTACAGAGTAGTATCATAAAGGTTTGGCCAAACATCAAACTTACCACTGTAGATTTCTTTCCTTTCTTCTCCACATCCTGGCTGGGAACAACATGCTTCTTCTCAGCTAGACTTGAAATACGAATAACCACAACTTATTCCCAGACATCTCAAACAGAAACACCAAGGATATTTGTCGATGATGACCATGCAGATTTCTAGCTATTCAGTACTCAAAGATGGCTGCTTGGGAGCCCAGCGGTACCTGCTGCCCAGAGGCTGCTAAAAACAAGACCCCCCCCCCACCCTCACATCTGAATTAGGTTCTCCCCCATTCTCTCATACAATCCAGTTATGTACTTTCACAGCATTAATCCAAATTAATAATTATACACTTAGGTGTGTCTGTAATGTCTGAATCGCCCCCACCACCATAAGACTCCAAGGGGACAAGGACTGTGTCTATTTGGTTCTCCGCTGAATTCTCACTGCTTAGCACAGAGGAGGTGCTCAAGAATTTTTTGTTCTGTCATCCTCCTCCTCCTTCTTGCCTCGAACATGGATACGCTGGCTGGAGCTCTAGCACTCAACTTAGACCTTACAGGCCCCCATGAAGCACTTTAGAAGACGGAAGCCACGGGCTAAGCATGAGGGCCCCAAATCAGAAGGAGCTCTGGTTTCTGATTACCTCACGGAGCTGACATATTAGCCCTGGCCCACCTACCTCTGGGCTTTTTTTTTTACACGAAAGGAAATAAACCCTTCAGGGGTTTTTGTTTACACCATATATACACACAGAAAATGCATATATAAAGAAGCATTCACAGGATCATTAAAAAAAAAAAGAAAAGAAAAAGAAATTCTTAAGTCTCCTCATCTCTCAACAGTCACTTAACAAGAATCTGAAAGCCTATAGCAGTCACAAAAGAACACTTTCTTCCAGTGGTTGTCAATACGAGCAAGCCTTTGGGCCTTCGCCAAATGATCTTTGTCACGTTCTGCTTTGTACACAAGTTCTGTATGCTATTCATTTTGTACCGCTGTACAAGGCCTTGGGGGTGAGACCAAAGAGTCCCGTGCTTCACTGAAAACTTTTTCACTAGTTGCTGATAGCTAATAAGAAAAACTGATAGTCAGAGAGCATTTGTTTCTTAATTGAACCTCACAAATACATTGGGCCCTATCTTGTATGCTATTTGCTGCCACGTAAAATTTGATGTAGGGAAGTCCCACAGCGTGAATCTCAAAGTGCATTAAAACAGAATTCCAGTGTAACAGAGACCATGACCTTCTTCTCTGCTTGGCTTCCTGCTACTTGCAAGAGGCGGCTAAAAAAGATCACAAATTGGAGGCCTGCAGAGGACAGCAGGGATTTGTAGAACACAAGAGTTGAAGACACCTGAGTTCTAGACGTGATACTTACCTCATGTGCTTCTCTGGTTCTTCTGGGATCCAGATTACAGCCATATTTCTAACATCTTGAGGGCAGGGAAGTTGTGTCTCATTCAAATTCAACACTGAAAGCTAAGAGCAAGATACGAAGCCTACATCTGGCTTGAAGATACCAGCTCCTGATGTATTCAGTACCAAACTAAGGACTGAATTATCATGCTAACCAAAAGGGTATGGTGGCTCAGAAGATGATAAAAAGACATTTCTCATCCCCCAAACATCTTCATAATATTCTCCCACAAAACCAGATAGCAGTACAGGTACTCTGCAAGAGTGAGCATTTGTACGTGAATAGTCACCCCTGCCTCCCTGTGACATTAGGGTAGCACTTAGCAACTACCAACCCCATCCCATATGAGGGTACCTTGGGGCTTACGTAAGGGAGCACTACTCATTCTGCCCAGCCCACTCCAAAGATTTAGATCCCCTGCAGATAATACAATACAGTTTGGGATCAGGGAGGGAATTGATAGAGACAGAAGCAGGTTATCTACCTTTATAGCCTGTCTACAACTATAGGCATCTACATAAAAGTAAAAGTCATAACTCTTTTCACATTTAGCTATTTAAGACACTAGAACACTGGTGCTAAAGGAAACCTTATAAATCACCTAGTCTATAAGACAGGGTTCAGGGAAGGAAAAAAAAATTTATTAAAAATAAGTTTGTCCCTTGGGCCGGCCCCGTGGCTTAGCGGTTAAGTGCGCACGCTCCACTGCTGGCAGCCCAAGTTCGGATCCCGGGTGCACACCGACGCGCCACTTCTCTGGCCATGCTGAGGCCGTGTCCCACATACAGCAACTAGAAGGTTGTGCAACTATGACATGCAACTATCTACTGGGGCTTTGGGGGAAAAACAAATAAATAAATAATTATTTAAAAAAAAAAAAAAAGTTTGTCCCCATGAAAAGGAACTAATTGGATTGGGGGAATAGGGGCGACTTCTTTGCACTCTAAACCCTTTTAGACTTTTTGAATTTAGAACCATGTGCATGGGCCGGCCCTGTGGCTTAGTGGTTGAGTGCGTGCGCTCCGCTACTGGCAGCCCGGGGTTCGGATCCCGGGCACGCACCAACGCACCGCTTCTCTGGCCTCAGCTGTGTCTCACATACAGCAACTAGAAGGATGTGCAGCTATGACATACAACTATCTACTGGGGCTTTGGGGGAAAAAAAAAAAAAAAGGAGGAGGATTGGCAATAGATGTTAGCCCAGGGCCGGTCTTCCTCAGCAAAAAGAGGAGGATTAGCATGGATGTTAGCTCAGGGCTGATCTTCCTCACAAAAAAAAAAAAAAAAAAAACCATGTGCATGTATTATCTATTCAAATAATTAATTTAAAACTAATTTAATCTAACTCTCTCGTTCTAAAGAGGTCAAAGAGGTAAGTGATTTGTTCCTTCATCTATTCAAACCCATCTACCGTCTCTTAGTCCCTTACACTCTCCACCACATGACATTGCAAAGTGAAGTATCTCATGAAAAAAACAAAAGGCAGGAGGACTGCAAAGAATAGTAAATCTCTCTTTATTGCAGATAAGTAGAAGGGTTTTTCTTCCTAAACTCTAATTTACCGCTGCCCCTAACTAGCTATGTGTTTTAGCAAATCACTTCCTATCTGGGCCTCAGTTTCCTCAACTGTAAGATAAATGAGATAGACCATAGTAATGTTCTCCAAACTGCAACTGCAACTTATTCATAGGTCAGGAAATCAAATATTATGACTTGTAGCCTACATTGTTTAAAAATGAAATAGAATAAAACAGGATGGGACAGAAAATATCGGAGTACATCACCATAGTTGGGATAAAGATTGTTCCATGATATTTTGTTGTAAAATGTATTTCTTACTGTAGGTCATAGCTAAAAAAGTCTGAAAGTCATCAGAGTAGATGACCTTAAGGCCATTTTAGGTCTGACATTCCAGCATTGTAATTTCCCTGTATCATGAGATGAGGGTTTACTTAGTAGCTGAACATGCTCTATGCAGGATAGAGACAGGAAACTCTTACCTATGCCAAGCTGCCACAAATCAATCCCACAGTGTCTGGGATTTCTGGAAACAGTATAGCATGTAAAGGCATTAGCACAAAGCCTAGCATATAGTAAGGGCCCAATATTAGATAGTTATCATCACCATGATTATCATCATTACTCAGATTATAGACATCCTGAATGTTAATACAGGCAAATATTTTATTCCCACCAGTAAAGAGAATATGCTGAGGAAGTACCTTTTTTGATCTGTGACTTCTTTCAGGAGATCTATTAGTATGGGTGATTAAATCTTTGTCAGGTAAAGCCTTCCGAGGCCTAAAAAATGAGAGTTTCCGAACATGAAACAGAGACATGAGAGAGTTATTGGGATGATAAAGTTAGTGCTGTGAGGAAAAGCCTTCTAATTATCTACAGAAAACCTTGGGCTTAATACTTACCAAACGAATGCAGGGTCTCACCATCTCCTTAAGTTTTGTTTGCTTGTTTTTCCTGGAACAGCTCCCAAACAGATATTGCACATTGCAAGCCCTTCACTATTATTTGTTGCATCACACTGAATTCAAAGCCTATGCCTCTCTCTCTCCAACTACAGATAATTACATCGCTATCAATAAAAGTTTAAGTACCTTTGATGTAGATATTCAATAACATGTTAAACAGACAAAACGTGGTGTATACATATAATGGAATATTTTTCAGCCTTAAAAAGGAATGAAATTCCGATACATACTACAAGATAGATGAACCTTGAAAACATTATGCTAGGTGAAATAAGCTAGACACAAAAGGACAAATATTATATGATTCCATTGATATGAGGTACCTAGAATGGGCAAATTCATAGAGACAAAAAATAGAATAGGGATTACCAGGGCTGGAGGGAAGGGAGAATAGGGATTTATGGTTTAATGGGTACAGAGCTTCTGTTAGAGATGATGAAAAAGTTCTAGAAACGTATAGCGGTGATGGTTGCATAACATTGTGAATGTATTTAATGCCACCAAATTATACACTTAAAAATGGTTAAAATGGGGGCCGGCCTGGTGGCACAAGTGGTTAAGTGCAGGCACTCCACTTCGGCGGCCCGGGGTTCACAGGTTCGGATCCCGGGAATGCACTGACACACCGTTTGTCAAGCCATGCTGTGGCAGCATCCCATATAAAGTAGAGGAAGATGGGCATGGATGTTAGCTCAGGGCCAATCTTCCTCAGCAAAAAGAGGAGGATTGGCAACGGGTGTTAGCTCAGGGCTGATCTTCCTCAAAAAACAAAACCAAAAAAAAAGGTTAAAATCATAAATTTTGTTATATATATTTACCACAATAAAAATCATCCCCTTACATTTTCATATCAGTTGCTATTTTATTTTTAAAACAACATGTTAAATGTATGAATGAATGAATATTGCAAAGAGGTATAAGATAAGGATTCAACTCCTTAGCCTGATTTATCAAGTCCTGCGTGATGTAGGCCCCTGCTTTTTACTCCAGCTCCCTAGCCTCCTCTCTGACCACTCTCTCATTCCTGCTCTATGTTCCAGACACAGGGAACTATTTTCCTGATACCTAAAGAATTTCCGCTTGCCTCCAGCCTTTGCATGTGCTATTTCTGCAGTCTAGAACTCTCTTCCTGTCCACCTCCCACCTCACTAGTACTCTAATTTCAGGTCTAGGCACAGATGCCACCTGTACAGGAGGCAGTGCCCTGTGTCAGGAACTCCTCCTGTGTCCTTCCACACCCCCAGGGGGTACCCTTCTCGCCACATTCATCACACTGAATGGGTCTTTGCCACCCCAAATAGGCTGAAAGCCCTTTGGGGATAAAGACTGTATCTTGTTTACCGCTGTGTCCCCGGTGTCCAGCAAAGTGGTCCCCACTAAGATACATTTGTGAATTCAGTGAGTGACTAAATGAATGATGGCATGGTCTTTCCCCTCATAGGCCCTGACTGGGAGAAGCTGCTGTTTTCCTAGGATTCAAATCCTAGAGAACCAGAAAGTAATCCTAACCTTTCCTATACTATCTTTAGCCTAACAGAAATCATCAAGGGCTGCTTTAGTGGAACAGGAGAAAAGAAACCAGTATAAGGGCCACTACTAGTGCTTTGATTCCAGGCAACAGGGTCTTCGAATTCTAACAGTCTACGTTTTCCACAGATCCGTCCCTTAGCTTCCTCTATCAGCAAGCACTAATTGGGCGCCTAGACTCTGCAAGAGACTCAAAAGGAAACCATTGCTTCTGCCTTTGAGATCTTACAAACAGTTTCATACCTAAAAATAAAAGATGAGAAAGACAGCACAGTTTTCTGATGACCTACAGAAGCTGAGGAGATACTCCCTGTTAGAGGCTGAATTGTGTCCCCCCAAATTTTTATGTTGAAATCCTAACCCCAATACCTCAGAATTTGACTCTATTTAGAGACACGGTCTTTAATGAGGTAAATAATGTAAAATGAAGTCATATGGGTGGGCCCTAATCCAATATGACTGGTGTGCTTACAAGAAGAGGAGATTAGGACACAGACATACAGAGAGGGAAGGCCATGTTAAGACATAGCGAGAAAACGGCCACCTACAAGCCAAGGAGAGAGGGCTCAGAAGAAAACAATTCTGCCAACACCTTAATCTTGAACTACTAGCCTCTAGAACTGTGAGAAAATAAACTTGTTGTTTAAGCCACCCAGTCTATGGTACTTTGCTATGGTAACCCTAGCAAACTAATACACCCTCCATTGTAACCAACTCCTACAACACAAGAATGCTTTCTTTTTGTTTCCCACTGCCTATTCACCACTTCTTTAATTGAAATGGTGTTTTACTTTTAATCCAGCTTTCTCAAAGTCTACTACACGTGGATAAAAGAAGTCAACTCAGAATTTTGAGATAGTAGGCTCTTAATGGAAAATGCCATGATAACTTACCTGCCTCGAAATTTGGAGTCAAACTTTGAACCTCGAGACAATAAAGAGCGAGCCTTGGTGAAGGTAAATCCTGATAAACGACGATGAGCAAGTCTCTTGGCCCCGAAGCAGGAATCTGAGATGTTTACAATGGTGAGCACTGGGAGTTTGTCTGAGAAAGCAGACCAGAACAAAACATGTAACATGTCAAAAGGGAGCCAAACAGAAATAGTTCAAGGATCTTAGAAGGAAGGAGACAGGGCTGGCTAATTCACCTTCAGCATCTGGAGGAGTTTTGCAGGGGGAGCCCAGGATTCGAGGGTGGCCCCTCTCGATCCGGCGGATAGTTGCCCAGCACTGTGGATGCTGACAAACAGCCAGGTCGCAAGTGGTTTCATCCCACTGGCTTTCATCTGGTAAGTCCACAGCTACAAATGGTTTAGGACAAGAGCCCATCTTGCAGCTTTCTAGCCCTCTGGAGAAACAATAACCACCACATAACTAGGGAGTATTATACATTAGCCATCCATTCCAGATCTTAATTTGGACTCAAAGCATAAAATATTTCTAATGAACCCATATAGGTAAATGGTGGTCACAGGATAATTAAGAATTGGCTAACAAGCAAGTATGAAAACATCTCAGCACGAAGTAAAGTGGCAAGGGAGTGACCTGGGTCTTAACCAATCTGAGCTTGTTTCCTCATCTGCAAAATGAGGATAAGCCTATTTCACAGAGTCATTACAAAAATTAATGTATTTATAAATATAAGGTATTATTTTAAATTTACATGTGTATTCTATTTTTGAAATTTATCCATATTTATTGTCAAAAAGATCCTAATCTAATAAATATTTGATAGCACATCAAGATGTCCTTAGCACTTAATTAAATCCTTGGAAAGTAAGTAATTGAAGGGGCCAGCCCGGTGGCGCAAGCGTTAAGTGCGTGCTCCGCTGCAGCGGCCCGGCCTGGGGTTCGCCCGTTCGGATCCCGGGCACACACCGACGCGCT